AACTTTGTTGCTTGTATCCTTACAATTTATATTGATATTGACTGTTTCCTGATGGCTTATTTGTACCCTATGACTATCATTAAGTGTTGTACCTTATGATTCTTGACGAATGTATCTTTTATTTTTATGTACACTGAAAGCATATGCACCAAAGACAAATTCCTTGTGTGTCCAATCACACTTGGCCAATAAAGAATTCTATTCTTCTATTTCTATGACTATCTGTTAAGACTATCGCCATCGTTCTCCTGGACATTACCAAGCTTTTCTCCTCAGGACCCTCTTCCAACCCCCTTGTTCATAAACTTTAAAAGCCAAAGGATTTTCCAGCTTGCCTCGTATTTTTAACCTTTCGGTCTCTGCAGAGGTGACTCGTTCCTAATCAAAACACACACTGGTCTTCGCAACAAATCTGCTCGGCCATGTCCTTCTTTCTCCTCACATCACAATCCCCTCTCCCCACGTCGCTCCCTCCCCATCGGGGGGCGAGGTCGCCCATGTCTCCCCCTCAGCCTCGGTGCCCGAGGAAAGTACATCTCCTCATCCTCCGGCCGGAAGGATGGCCGTCTCCTACGTTTCCCGGTTGCCCGCCCCAGCCCCTCTCACCCGCGGCCGCCCCCGAAGCTACTGTAGGCCTGGTCGTCATAAGAATCGAAATCCGCCATTGCTGCCGCTCCTGCCGCCTCAGCCTCCCCCGAGCGCGAGCGAGCGCCGCAGGACCCCGCGCCGTTTATATAGCGGGCCAAACGGAGGGGCTGCCCGTCGTGCCGCCTGAAGTCGATCGCCTTCCTGCGCCTGCGCAGTTGCGGATGGCGGCGAGAGTGCCCTCGGCGTTGCCTGATTGAAAAGCGATGGGGAAAAAAGAGTGAGGCATAAGTAACCTCATGAGACAGGAAGAGGTTTTCATTTTGAAAACCACCCAAGGCGTGGAGAGACAGAGCACATGTTGGGGTTTGAGGTCGGGCATACGCTTTTCCCAGTTACCTGATCTAATTTAGAAAGCGATGTAGACGGGGGTAGGGGGGTGGGGGGAGGGAAGCGACGTATTTATATATTTATTTTTGCCAATTAAGGAATAGAATAGAATAGAATAATTTATTGTCCAAGTGTGATTGGACACACAAGGAATTTGTCTTTGTTGCATATGCTCTCAGTGTAAAGAAAAGAAAAATAAAACAGAATACATTCATCAAGANATCCACCATTTTGGTATGAGAATAGGTTTGCTCAGTTTAAGGAATGGAGGATAGAATAATTTATTAAGTTAGCTACCTAATTACAGAGAATAAAGTTATCAAACCTGAATGTTATTGTATTAAGTGCTGATAACTTTATTCTCTGTAATTATATTACTAATTAGCTTATGATAAAGGAATAGAAAAAAGACTCAACTCCTTTTCCACTAAACCTAATGCTTTTTAAAGAATTATATAGGTCATCTCAACTCATTAAAAATATTGGAGAATTGGTGCATCTTTAATTAGTTTAATAATAAAGTATTTCATCCATTTCATATAATGCATTCATATCAATTACAAAAGACGGTTTAGAAAGCCTTTAAAAATATTGTGAACATAATTTGGTTTTATACATTGAATCTATCTTGAAACACTTTATAGTATATAATTCCTTATAAGCCATTCCACTGTGTATCAAGAAATAAAATCTATTTAAGTTAGGGTGATAAGGGTATAAACGAAATGCTTGTTTTATCTTTGGTGGCAGTGGCCAATTACTTTTTGTTCAAAAGTTTTTGATGAAATTCAAAAAAGCACAGAAAAGCTGTTTAAGATGAATCTCATAGTAGGATTATTGTCTTTATGTTCAAAGATGTTTTAAAGTGTGTGAAATTGTTTTGACACAAGAGTTCAATCAGTGACAAAAATGTTTGAAAACTTCCATAGTAAAGATTAACTTTAGTCAAATTCAGACATCATATATATCAGTTGTAATAATATGCTTTTTCCTGGTATATTGCTTCCTTTCTACACAAATGTCATTTTGGATAAATATATTAGATGTTGATAATTAATCTCAATTAAACTCTATAACTATGTCTGTGTTAACAATTCTGCATTCATAAGTTATACATTTTAATTATTTTTTCTCTTTTCTTTTGGCTGGTTTGTTTTTTCATTTATCTTTAACTTTGAAATGCTGGCTTTTAAAATGTTTACATCTAGCATCTGGGGTTCTTTCTAAACTGGTGGCCCCCAACCTTTTGGGCACCAGGGATTAGATCCACGAACAGAGGCGTGGTTTCTCATGCTTCCTGCATCCCACGGATCTCTGGCTTCACTTGTTTGCATGGCCTGGTTTTTGGCATCCTGTGGACCAGTGCCGGTCCATGGGATTGGTTGGGGACCCCTGTTTACAGGTAGTCCTCAAATTTTGAGTGCAGTTGAACCCAAAAGCATGGCAGTTGTTAAATGAGCTTTGCCTCATTTTGTAAGCCCGCCCCCAGTTGTTAAGTGAATCACTACAATGAATCCTGTGTTAGTTAAGCAAATCTGGCTTCCCCCATTGACTTTGCTTGTGGGAAGAGGGCTGAGAAGGTTCCAAATGGTGGTCCCATGGCCTGGGACAGTGCAACCTCATAAATATATGTCAGTTGCCAAGAGCTCGAAATTTAGATGGGGAAGCTGCGGTGATCATAAGTGTAAAACCTGGGCATAAGTCACTTTTTGGGGTTCTGTTGTAACTTCAAATGGTCACTAAATGTATGGTTGTAAGTCGAGAACTACTTGTACATTAGTAATAGTGACAATAAGAATTTTCTGGGTTTTTTTCTCTGTTGCCTCCCTCCCTCTCTCCCTCTCTCCCTCTCTCCCTGACTCTCTCTCCTCGCGCGTGCGTGCACTACCTCCTTGTCTTACACATATTTTTGTTTGTATATTTATATGTACAAGAAAGTACTGGGTAGGCTGCATAAGATCTGCTCTGGGTAACATGATCAGAAGGGAGGGGGGGCTTATGCACTGTAACTGAGCCACTGCCTAATTACCTTTCCTATAAGGGTGCACTGGGGGATTTTTAATAGAATGCTTTTCTTGACGTTCCCTAGCCAGATCCAGCCCATTTTTAAACTCAAAAAGTTTTTAAAAAAGAGTTTACCTGAACAACTAGACACAGGGACAGTTTCCTAGTATGCCATCACTCTGCTAAACAACTAATTCCCACAACACTGTCAAACTATTACTAATTATTCTATTACTAATTATTC